AGAAGAAGAAGAAGAAGAAGAAGAAGAAGAAGAAGAAGAAGAAGAAGAAGAAGAAGAACTCCAGCTGAAATATATTTAACAAAATTATAGAAGAAAACTTTCCCAACCTAAAGAAGGAAATCCCTATGAAGCTTCAAGAAGCTTACAGAACAACAAAAAGACTGGATCAAAAAAAAAAAGTACCCTTGTCATATAATAATCAAAATGTAAAACATATAGAATAAAGAAAGAATATTAAGAGCTGCAAAGGAAAAAGGTCAAGTAACATATAAAGGTAGACCTATCAGAATTACACCCAACTTCCCAATAGAAACCATGAAATCCAAAAAGTCCTGGGTGGATGTACTGCAGACACTAACAGATCACAGATGCAAACCCAGAATACTATACCCAGCAAAGCTTTCAATCACCATCGATGGAGAAAACAAGATATTCCATGACAAAAACAGATTTAAACAATACGTATCCACAAACCCAGCACTACAGAAAGTACTAGAAGGAAAACCTCAACCCAAGGAAGCTAACTACACCCACAAAAGCACAGGCAACAGATAACCCCCACCAACAAAACCCAAAGAAGGGAAACACACAAACACTACTACCGAAAAATAGCAGGAATTAACAACCACTGGTCATTAATATCTCTTAATATCAATGAAATCAATTCACTTATAAAAAGACATAGGCTAAGAGAATGGATACGAGAACAAGATCCAGCCTTCTGCTGTATGTATACAAGAAACACACCTCAACTTCAAAAACAGACACTCCCTCAGAGTAAAGGGTTGGTAAATGGTTTTCCAATCAAATGGACCTAAGAAACAAGCAAGTGTGGCTATCCAAATAACAAACAAAATATATTTCAAACTAAAATCAATTAAAAGAGATGGAGAAGGACACTTTATACTCATAGCAGGAAAAAAATCCATCAAGATGTAGTCTCAATCCTGAACATCTATGCCCCTAATACAAGAGCACCCACACATGTAAGAGAAACATTACTAAAACTTAAATGGCACATCAAACCCCATACACTAATAGTAGGAGACTTCAATATTTCACTCCAATGGACAGATCAGCCAGACAGAAACTTAACAAGGAAATAAGAGAACTAATCGATGTCATAAATCAAACGGACTTAACAGACAACTATAGAGTATTCCACCCAAACACAAAAGAATATACCTTCTTCTCAGCCCCCCATTAAACCATCTCTAAAATTGATCACATACTCAGTAACAAAGCAAACCTCCACAGATTCAAAAAAATTGGAGTAAACCCCTGTTTCTTATCAGATCACCATGGATTAAAGTCAGAATTTAACAACAATACTCCTCTAAGAACGCCTACAGACTCAATGGAAATTGAACAATGAACTACTGAATCACCCCTGGGTCAGGGAAGAAATAAAGAAATTAAAGACTTCCTAAAATTCAACAAAAATGAAGATACAACATATCCAAACCTACGGAACACCATGAAAGCAGTGCTAAGCAGGAAGTTCATAGTACTAAGTGCCCACATAAAGAAAACGGAAAAGCTCACATTAGTGACTTAACAGCACACCTGAAAGCTCTAGAACAAAAAGAAGCAGACTCACCCAGGAGGAGTAGAAGACAAGAAATAATCAAATTGAGGGCTAAAATCAACAAAATAGAAACAAAGAAAACAATACAAAAATCAATGAGGCTAAGATCTGGTTCTTTGAGAAAATCATCAAAGATAGATAAACTCTCATCCAAACTAATCAAAGGGATGGAAAGAACATCCAAATTAATAAATTCAGAAATGAAAACGGGAACATAACAGCAGACACTGATTAAATTCAGAGAATCATTAGGTCATACTACAAAAACCTGTACTCTACAAAATTAGAAAACATAAAAGAAATGGACAATTTTTTAGATAGACACCATATACCAAAATTAAATCAAGACCAAGTGAACAATTTAAATAGACCTATAAACTGCAAAGAAATAGAAGCTGTCATCAAAAACCTCCCAACCAAAACTGGCTTAGGGATGGATGGTTTTAGTGCAAAATTCTACCAGAACTTTCAAGAAGAACTAATACCTATACACCTCAAAGTGTTCCACATAATAGAAACAGAAGGAACATTGCCAAACTTTTTTTATGAGGCTACAGTTACTCTGATACAAAAACCACATAAAGACCCAACTAAGAAAGAGAATTACAGACCAATCTCACTCATGAACACAGATGCAAAAATACGCAATATAATACTGGCAAATCATATCCAAGAACACATAAAAAAATCATCTACCATGATCAAGTCAAATTCATCCCAGAGATGCAGGGCTGGTTAAATGTATAAAAATCTATCAATGTAATCCATCATATAAATAAACTGAAAAAAACCATATGATCATTTCATTAGATGCTGAAAAAGCATTTGACAAAATCCAACACCCCTTCATGATAAAGGTCTTGGAGAGATCACGGATACAAGGAACATATCTAAATAAAAGAAACGTAATATACAGCAAGTAGATAGCCAACATCAAATTAAATGGAGAGAAACTCAAAGAGATTCCACTAAAATCAGGAACAAGACAAGACTGTCCACTCTCTACATATCTTTTCAGCGTAGTTCTTGAAGCTTTGGCTATAGCAATAAGACAACAAAAGGAGATTAAGGGGATTCAAATTGAAAAGGAAGAAGTCAAACATTCGTTATTCTCAGATGATAAAATAGTATGTATAAGTGACTCCAAAAACTCTACCAGAGAACTCCTACAGCTGATAAATACCTTCAGTGATGTGGCAGGATCAACTCAAAAAAATCAGTAGCCCTTCTATATACAAATGACAAAGAAGCTGAGAGAAAAATTAGGGAAACATCATCTTTCACAATAGCCACAAATAACATAAAATATCTTGGGGTAACACTAACCAAAGAAGTAAAAAACCTATTCAACAAAAGCTTTAAGTCTTTAAAGAAAGAAATTGATGAAGATACCAGAAAATAAAAAGATGTCCCATATTCTTGGATAGGTAGGATCAACATAGTAAAAATGGCAATCCTAGCCAGTCGGTGATGGTGCACGCCTTTAATCCCAGCACTCAGGAGGCAGAGGCAGGCGGATCTTTGTGAGTTCAAGGTCAGCCTGGTCTACAAGAATTAGTTCCAGGACAGACTCTAAAACTATAGAGAAACCCTGTTTCAAAAACACAAAAAAAGGCAATCCTACCAAAAACAATTCATAGATTCAATGCAATCCCCATCAAAATCCCAACACAATTATTCACAGATCTTGAAAGAACAATAATCAACTTTACATGGAAAAACCAAATAAATACGGATAGCCAAAACAATCCTGTACAATAAAGGAACTTCCGGAGGCATCACCATCCCTGACATCAAGCTTTATTACAGAGTTACAGTAATGAAAACTGGCATAGAAACAGAGAGGTTGACCAAGGGAATTGAATCGAAGACCTGGATATTAATCCACACACCTATGAACACCTGATTTTTGACAAAGAGGCTAAAATTAATCAATGGGAAAAGTATCTTCAACAAATGGTGTTGGCATAACTGGATGAAAATAGGTTCATATCTATCCCCATGCACAAAACTCAAGTCCAAACGGATTAAAGACTTCAATATAAATCTGACCACTCTGAACCTGAGAGACGATAAAGTGGGAAGTGGTCTTCAATCCATAGGCACAGGAGACCACTTCCTAAATATAACCCCATAGCACAGACACTGATAATATCAATAAATAAATGGGACCTCCTGAAACTGAGAAGCTTCTGTAAAGCAAAGGATACAGTCAAGAAGACAAAAAGGTAGCCTACTGAATGGGAAAAGATTTTCACCAACCCCACATCAGACAAAGGACTAATCTCTGAAATGTATAAAGAACTCAAGAAATTAGACAACAAAATTCTAAATAACCCAATTGAAAAATAGGGTACAGAACTAAATATAAAATTCTCAATAGAATAATCTGAAATGACTAAAAGATACTTAAGGAAATGTTCAGCATCCTTAACCATTAGGGAAATGCAAATCAAAACAACTGTGAGATACCATCTTATACCTGTCAGAATGGCTAAGATGAAAAACACCAATGATAGCCTATGTTGGAGAGGATGTGGAGTAAGGAGAACACTCATCCATTGCTGGTGGGAATGCAAACTTGTACAACCACTTGGGAAATGAGTATGGTGGTTTATCAGAAAATTGGGAATCAACTTACATCAGGATCCAGCAATACCACTCTTGGGCATATACCCAAAAGATGCTCAATTGTACTACAAAGACATTTGTTCAACTATGTTCATAGCATTATTTGTAATAGCCAGAACCTGGAAATAACCTAGATGCCCCTCAACCGAAGAATGGATTAAAAAAAAAATGTGGCACATTTACACATTAGAGTACTACTCAGCAGTAAAAAACTATGACATCTTAAATTTTGCATGTAAATAGATGGAATTAGAAAACACTATCCTGAGTGAGGTAAACCAAATCCAAAAGGATGAATATGATATGTATTCACTCATAAGTGGATACTAGCTATAGACAAAGGATATTGAGCCTATAGTTCATGGTTCTAGTGAAGCTAAGTAATAAGGTGAGCCCTAAGAAAAGCATATATAGATCCACCTGGAAAGTGGAAACAAACAAGATTGCCTGACAAAATTGGGAGCATGGGGATGGGGGTGAAGGAGGGGTGGAAGGGGAAAAAAGAGAAGAAAAGGGAGAGGTGAGGAGAACTTGAGAGAATGGGATAGTCAGATGGAGGAAGGATAGAGATGAGACCAAGGAAAGAGATATCTTGATTGCGGGAGCCATTATAGGGTTAGCAAGTATCCTGGCTCTAGAGAAATTCCCAGGAATCCACAAGGATGACCCCAGCTAAGACCCTAAGCAATAGAGGAGAAGGGGCCCTATCTTGACTTGCCCTCTAGTCAGACTGATGAATATCTTAAATATCCCCATAGAACCTTCATCCAGCAACTGATGGAAACAGAGGCAGAGACCCACATTGGAGCACTGGACTTAGCTCCCAAAGTCCATTTGAAGAATGAGAGGAATGAGAATATGAGCAAAGAGGTCAAGACCATAATGGATACACCCACTGAAACAGTTTACCTGAGCTAATGGGAACTCACCAACTCCAGCCAGACTAGGAAGGAACAAGCATAGGACCAGACTAGTTCCTCTGAATGTGGTTGACAGTTGCATGGCTGGGGCAGACTGAGGGGCCACTGGCAGTGGCACCAGGATTTATCCCTACTGCATGTACGGGCTTTTGGGGAACCTATTCTCTTTGGATGATACCTTGCTCAGCCTATATATAGTAGGGAGGTCCTTGGACCATCTCTAAAGCAATGTGCCTTATCCTTTCTGAGGATTAGATGGGGCTGGGGTGAGAGGGTATGGGGAGGGAATGGGAGGAGAGGAAGGAGTGGGAACTTGGATTGGTATGTATAATGAAAAAATATAGTTTTTTTTTAAAAAAATACAATGTATAAAATTAAATAAAACATTTTTAAAATACTTGGAAGGAGAAAATGAAATGTAAATAAAGTAGATGTAAGTTGGGGAATTCAAGAGGGACACTGAGACAGACAGAGTAAAGAATTTATTAGAAAAGTAAATAACGTGACAGACAGACAACAGCATGGCAGGTACTCTCAGGAGAGTTCACGGACCCCATCACCAGAGACAGACAACACGGTGGGGTCTCTGAAGAACCCATGTGACAGAAATGGGGTCTCTTCACTCTTCTGAGGATGGGGGTGGTTTCACAAAACAAGTGTATCCAGGCCCTTTGAGTCCCATGCAGGGAGCAGAGAAGCATATGGGGAGCAAGATGTGTGACCCCTGATCCCCCTTTGATGTAAACTCATTTCCTCAGAAGAGAGATCCAAGACCGAAGACAGCTCCATTCAAGTCTAGCCTGGGAACCAGTGAATCTCTTAGGTACAGTTAGACACACATGGGTGGGAGATAACCCTTAGGAGAGCAGGAGACTCAAATAGCCGCATGACTGAAAAGTTCCATTCCCTCAGAACCATATGCAGGTAGGGCAGGATTACATTTGACTGGAGGCAGGAGGGAGTGGAACTTCAAGTGAGGGTCCAGTGGTCTTTCTGTCCTTCTGTCAGAGACTGCTGACAGGCCTGATCTTTGGCGGGCCTTGTGCAGGTAATCACAGACGTTCTGACTTCAAACCAGTGGCCATGCCTGGAAGATAGGATTCCACAGTGCAGGATGGAGTAAGCCAAGTTCTGTTCACGCATACTCCGATCATGCTTATTCATAGGCTCTCCTTTCCATGTTCAGAAAACGGCAACATTGCAACAATTCACATGTGAAGTTTTTAACCCTCTGACATCGAAATGTCACCCATCAACTTGCTCTGACCCAACCAAAGAATTTAGTGACTTCAATTGGGTTATATTGGACAAGGCTACCTGAAAGTTCCAGGGGGGAGGAGCATATTTCAATGCTTAATACAGCAGTGGCTTTGAATCAGACATCTTCCCCACAGCTGAGCTAGGTGGAGTCTAAAACTTCTAAGAAAGTCATGGAAGCAACTTGTAAAATAAGCCATAGAAGCAAGGAATGAGAAGCCAGTGAATCAGGAGGTTTCATCCAAGCTTATGAAGCTTAGTTCTCCTAAAGTCACACCCTGTAAGCAATTTCTTGACACTTACTGCAAACTGCCATTTGTTCCCAGGAAAACCAATGGAGTGCTATGTGTCATAGTAATATTTCCTTGATCCACACATTCTACAGAGTATACATCTTACTCCCCTGTGGGCACAAGGTCACTGCTGCCAGGAAATGGAGCAAGTTATCTTTCCCCGCTCTCGTGTGCTTGACTTTGAACATAGGGTCTGAAAGAAAATCGTAAGCGAAAGGAGAACACTCAGTGGAGACAGCCTCCACCTCAGGGGCACTGGGACTGGGGAGAAGGCATGTGATATGTCAGAGTGGACACTGAAACCCAAGTTCTAGTTTCATGACCTTTGGCACAGACATCGCTCCACTAAAATGGGCTCTGAGTCAGAGGTATATTTGCTGAGTAAATTGTGTCAAGGGTCAGGGTCATACAACTACTGAATCCAAGTCTCTCCCCAAATCCACTGTGGCCTACAGCCCACATCATCCCTTCATTAGCATACTAAACAAATACTCGGTCGCCTGCTAAATCGAGTATTCTGAAACCTCTCTCCCAGGCATTTACATGTATTCTATTCTGCTGCAAAGCTGAAATCCTCACCAACTTATGTGCATGCGTGTCTGTCTCTGTGTGTGTCTACATGTCCGTACACCTGTATGTCTGTGTGCATGTGTTCGTGCTAGCTAGAGGAGGAAGATTTGATAGGTGCTGTCCTTCAGTGGTTCTAAAACTTGGTAGCTCAATGGAATCATCAGAGGAACAATTTAACATCACAGGGCTCGGACTGTCTGGACCCATTTCAAGTTCATCAGTCCCTCAGAATGGAGCAGAGGTCAAGACTCTCCTGGGACTGGGCTGCTTTAGCCCAGGCTGTAAGACTCTATCTTCTTCTCCCAACCCGTTCTCTTAGCTCATCACTGCTGTAATATGCTTTTCTGACCCCCATATTTTAAACTTCTCCTTTGATCAAGGTTGAGAACCAGAACTATAGACCAAGTTTCATCCATCATCCATAAAAAGAGCCCGCTCTCCTTGCTGTTTATTTTAGAACAATAAAGCAGTCAAGTTAAAAACAGATTGGCCCCTTCTGGCCTGCCTTCTGCTGGGGTTTATAGCTTCCTTCATTCTGCCCCTTGTGTTACTGTCTGCAAGCTCCTTTCCCAAGAGGATGCACCTCCCAGACAAGGTCACAATCTGCCTCCTGAATGCTTCCCTCACTTCATGCTCGTGGGGTACTCTGTGGACCTATGGTTTCTAGAGCTGTTTTCCTGTGCTGAGTAGCAACATTCTAGTGTTTTGCTGTTCTGTTTGTTTTTGTTTGAACTCAGTGTGCTTCCCTGCACATTTCCTCTGCGCATGTGTGCTCACCTTTCATCAAACCATAAGGAACTCCTTCTCACTTCCCTCTTTCAGTATTTTGCACACCTTGTTTGACAAACTACCTCTTCAGAATGGTCCCTCCGGGTTTAGTTTCCATGGAAACCTGTCTCCAGTGGGTACCTGCTGGGAAAAGAGTATCATAATGTCCCCATTTGCCTCCTGGTGTGAAAAAGCTGCCAAAGAGGCTAGAAAAAGAGTAAGGGAGACTCACACCAGCTCCAGTGGGAAGCGAGTGTGTCTTCAGTCCGGTTCTGCAGCTACAGGCGGCAATGCTTTGCTCTGTTCGCTCTAGTCATTGTTGTTCCCCAACTCCAGACAGAAATAAACGTTCAGAATCACCTGGTCACACTGAGTGAAACACACATGAACTTACCGTATTCCTGCTCTGGTCCACTTCCTCTCCCAGGGTTAAGGTGAGGAAGGGTGTCAACATTAGATGAAGGTTTGTATTAATTGCCCAGACTGAAAAAAAGAAGGGCTGGAAAAAAAAAATCATTTAACTGAGGCTGAGATGCACTTCCCAGGCACTCCACAAGGGGTCACGGTGATTCAAGGTAAGGCTATTTATTCTTCATTAGCTTTATGAGAAACGGAGCCTGTCTTCAAACACAAAGAAATCCTCAGACTCCCAGGAATGATCCAAGGAAGCCTGGTGAGGTGGAAAGAAGGACGGCCGTCCAAGGAGAGGGGCCGAGTTCACCAAAGGTACTTACTGCTCACCAGGACTTGCCATTTAAGATGTGATGGGCAAGATTCTGAGAAGCAGTGATCTATAATCCTTGCAACCTTCGCTGTAGAAACTCAAGTTGAAAGGATTTGCCTTTTTCTTCCTTTGTTTTTGCAAAAGGGCCTCCCCGTGTAGCTCTAGCTGGCCCAGAACTCGATATGAAGACCAGTCTGTCCTAGAACTCAGAGATCTGTCTGCCTCTCCCTCTCAAGTGCTAAGATTAAAGTGTACGTCAACTGTGCCTGACAAAATTTGTTTCATGGTCAAATGTGGTTATATTTGTGGGGCCACTCAGCTGCTGCAGTGATCTATCTATTTACCTAAGTCTTGGTGGGAGGCAAAAACTTTATAAACACTCTGTTTACAATACAAGGATTAGGGTAGGGCACCTTCAAGGTCTCCTTACCAAAAACATGCCTACCTGGTGCATTTATAAGGACTCCCAGTTTAGGATCTTAGAGTCGGTACGAGAAGGTAGCTTGATTACAGTAAACGATTTTAAGCAACTAAAAGTGACACAGAAATACTTGCTTTTTCTCCTCTGATTAATCATGATGACCTTGCACGGCTCTCTTTCAGCTGCTGCCAATGTGACTGCTACACAGTGCCTGCTACAAGATAACCCTCAAGGCTGATGAAACTATCACTCTGGATAGAAGAAGAGAAAATGAGGTGAAAGTCAACATCTGACCACTAAGAACACTTCTTGGTTGCAGAAGAAAAGCTTAAGAACCCAAGGTAATAGGAAGGATAAGATACAGCTAAAAGGAGGCCTAGCTGAGAGAGGTCTTGCTGGGACCCTTGAGTGTGATCATGTGACCCAGAGAAATGGGGAAACAACTGAGCAATTAATTACAAAATGGCGAGGTGAGTGTTCTTTGTGTAGGCAGGAACAGAGTGGTATGGGCGCAGAGACCTTTATCCTTCATCCTTAGGGGAAAGAGACGAAAGGAGAAACAAAGGAAGAAAAGGAGCTTTGCACTCGGTAGTGCTTGCCCATGGTGAGCATGTGGAACTTCGGGAAATGGGGAGACACCGCCAGTCAGTTCTGCAGGAGCCTCTGCCTTGTGCTGTGGGGTCAACCAATGGCCATGGGTGCTGCATTGTATCACAGGACTGATAAAGGGCCTGCGGAGATCCTAGCATGACTGCAGGGCTGTCCCTTCAAACTCCTGCTCAAACTGCTCAACTATCCAGGAAAGGACTTGCAGGCAAGCAGCATGGGTTTTAGGAGGGAAACAAGTTCATGAATATGAGCATGCCCTCCAGGGGCTCTGAAATGGCCCTTCAACCACCTGCAAATGAATCCCCTGCTCCTTAGCCACAGTGCTTTGGTATCCAAGCACTTTTCCTGAGGAATGATTTCACACTGTTTGGACAAAGGTCCTTTTTGGAGACAAAGGTGTAATTAAGCAGGGAAAAGAGACACAAGTTAGAATCCTCAGCAAGGACAGAGCCCCAGCTGAAAAAATGCCTCTATGAGATCCAATTGGAAGGTATTTTCTAAATTCTCTCTCTCTCTACTCTTCTCTCCTTTCCCCTCCATAAACCACTCATGGCGTGTCAAATTTGCACACAAAACCAGCCAATACAACACATAATTTAAAAATAATGAAAATAAATATTTTTTTAAAAGAAACTGACAGGAAAGTATACAATTAACAAAATAACTTGTAAAATCAATGCATGATTCTACTTTTTTTTCTACACCATAATTGCAACTTATTCAAGATACAGTAAAAGAATCCAAGAGACAATAATAGGCACACTGTGTGAATAAATTACTAATTGTGCGCATCCTTTTCCAATTGTCTGTTCTCTTCCCCCACCCCCCTGTGTGCATGTGTGTGTGTGTGTGTGATAAGAAAAAAAAATCTTAGTGTGAATAAAAACTCAAGCTGTCTTTGGTGAAGTCAGTCCCAAGTCCCACAGAGCCGCGACTGTGTGCTGAATCAGCCGTGTCCGAAAGCTAGGGAGGGAATCATGCTGGGAGCCCCAGGAGAATGAGTGTGAAAGCTGAATGCTAACCCTGACAAATGCTTAATGGAGGACAAATGAGAAAGTAACAAGAGGATGGAGCAGGCCTGTTTCTATGTGAGCCTGCTGAAGAATACAATGGTGAGTGGCTAGATGCTTCAAAGACAGACAAATAGAACGTTTGGACCAAACAGAAAGCCTTGAAGAGCCATAGATTTGAATCTCCCTCCAGTCCCTTTGAGTGTAAACAACATATTTAGGGAGGTGTTAGGAAGTGATCTGGTAGAAAAGACACTTATAAAGGGTAAAACCACTTAAGCAATCCCACCAGGGGATGGTGAAACCATGCCCTGTGAGGTGATAAGATGTATTTCAGAACCCTCCCTTCAGAACCAGCATGGGGGGCGGGGGGAAGCTAGTGGGATGGGGTATTCGGAGCCCAGTTCCTTTGACTTAGGCCATGAATGGCTCCCACAGGATGTTGACTCCCCATGGCTTAGCCTCTGTGGTTCTAAAAAAAAGTCTTCAGAGCAGTGATTCAACGGTGGCAACGGTGGCAACGGGGAGCCCTGGTGTTGTATTGCTGTGTATGTTGTCTGTCTTATGTGAAAGCGATAACTCTACAAACAAGGAGAAAATGGAGTGTTCCATAAGTGATGTTGGGACGAATGATGACCCTTATGATGGAAATAGTTTCCTATCCCACAGATGGATAAAACACGTGGATACAAAAGAAGAAAAACATATAGAAATAGCATGGACAGATATATACTACAAAGCAGGATTTCTAAAGCTATAGAAGCCATAGATTATAAAAGAAACTGGATATTGACTTTCTCAGATAATTAAAACATTTGGAAAACAAAGTCTAAATGTATGTACCACAATATCATGAATGAATTTAGAGGTGGTAAACTTAATGTTTGTGTTTCTACCATTATAAAAAGTGGAATACAAGTGAAAATGGAATGTTACTGTTATCCTGAAGAACCGGCTTACAGGTTTAAGAAAGCTAGGAGCCAGGAAATAGGACCAAAGGTAGTATCTGGAATCCACAAAGGCTCCCTTTCAGTGGGTGAAAATGCAGGGAGCTAGTAGACAACTGAACAAAAGATACAAATAGGATTGTCCAAGAAAGGAAGTCAACACCCAAAGTCAATATTAATAAAACCCAGGGGAATTAGAAAACAGTCAGATCTCATGTCTCACCCACCAACTAGAGGGAAATCTTACCTCTTCATATGCCAAAGTTTCTTTCCTCCATAGCCCCCCAAGAGAAACGTGCTCAGCCATACAGGAAATGGCATGAACGTTAATGGCCACCACAGCATTATTTGTACAGCCAGCGAGAAAGAAAGGTCTGAGAGCCAGAAAGCGAGGAACACAGCAGGGAATTCTAAGAACCCCAGCAAAGAAAAGTCCAGGATTACAGCTGCACCCGAGGGGCAAGCAGGGGTTGAATACGGGAAGTGTGGAACT